CTAGGAAGAACTGAGGAATATGTAGGAGCGCGGTATGCTCAAATATCATCTCGTAGAGACGTGGAATCTCCTGTTGGAAAACTTCATGAAAGGTAGCAGGATCTATGCAATGGAAGACAGTCGCAAACGTCTCAAGAAGGTCTTTTTCTTCCTTACTACTAGATACCATGTAGAAATTGGCCATGTATTCTACAGGGGATGCATATGCCGACTCTGCAGCCGGTTTGTCGATTTCATAATACCGGAAGACATAAGCACCCTCTCGGAGAAGTTTGACAATCACTTTGACTTCCTCGGCGGAAAACCCATATGATACCTCTTGCCAGTGTGCCGGTGCGTTATGGGGATCGATCTGCAAAGCAACATTGCAGGTTTTGAGCTGGTAAAAGGTATTTTTAAGCCCGTTCATCAAATTCTTGAATAAGAATTTGTTGTCCGCAACAGGATCAGCGCCGCGGTCTCGAGGATTTGATGTTTTGATCGGCATTGCCGTGAAGATGTCAGTCTCGTCCCACTCAGGGCGATGCTCTTTGTCCGCCAGATAAGTGTCGGTAAACTGATCGCGAGCTTGCTGGGCATAAAGGGCGGAAAGCTTGACAGCATTTGGATATTGTCTATTCATTGCCGCAAACTTGTCACCAATTGCGTTGAGTATCATCAAAAGGTAATGGCGAGCATCGACCTTATTCTGCATCTTGGCAATGCATTCTGCCATGTTCAACAATAGTTTGGCACTCATTGTTTGGAAACTGGTACCCGGGAAGTTGTCCTGCAGGTTCCTGGTGTAAACCTCAACAGTTTTTCGAATCTGTTCCGGGGACAGAGACTCGCGAACATGATGTATCAAATCGGCCAGCATGCTATACGCTAAAGGTCGCATAGTATCATACACTGTTAGCCCGTCGCCAATCAGTGTTTTCTCCTCCAAGAGCTCGTCAATCTTGGGTAGAAAAATCTTCCGAAAATTGAAGTTAATAATATGACGGATCGCAACTAAGAGTTCCTTTCGAGCTGCAGACTTCTCCCTCGGGCAGTCCTTGAGTAATCGAACGACGATTTCCGGCAGCGTGGGTAAGAAGTCTGCAAGCTGACTGGAATATTGGCGTAGCAGATATGCCAAGAAGCTCATCGTCTTCACCTGGGCAGTGATGAACTCGCCAAATGCCGCTCGATTCTTGATATTTGGGCTCACACCAGAAAATACCGTCCCTCTAGCCTTTGCGTCCACATGGGCTTGTTCCTGGGCTTTCGCCTGGAGACACAGCACAGCCTTGATGAGGGGTACGAATCTCTTAACGTTTGCCTGAATAATATTTCGATACGTCTGGAAAACTGAAACAACGATAATCGGGCACTCTGACAGGACTTTGAATGATTGCATTCCCTTCAGCAGCGGCCGGCTCTGCTGCTGGAGGTCTTGGCCGAGGTCCGTGACTGAGGCAACCGGCGATCCGGGTCGAGGCGACTGGAAGTTCGTTTGCGTGCTACCCGGAGTGGACGGTGGGCCGGACGTGTTGGATGGTATGACCGTACTATCTAGCTGTTCCCGCACAACCTTCTCCATCTGTTCAAAGAGCTCTTGTATCAGATTCAGGAATGGCTGGACTTTCTCGTGCAGGACTTTCGGTTGATGCCGCATGACATCCGAGATGATCTTGACACATAACGTGGCGTTGTCCTCATTGTCATTCCGTACCAAATGCATGAGAAGCTCGACTACCTCCACAGCATAGCGCTCGAACGGTTCTGGGGACGTCTGGTGTGTGGGTAGCCGGTGGAGGATTTCGAGGATGCAATTCCGAAGTTTCTAGTAACAGGGTTGGTTAGACCGATAAGACAGGAAAGCCAGGTGCCCTACCTGGTCCGGAGATGTGCTTTGGAAAACACATGGTCCGTTTAGGATGTGTATGAACACGGGCATCGCCCGTTCGAGGAAGAGGCCATAGTTGGGCCCATTGGTGTAATGATCGAGACTATCACGCAGAGTGGTAGCAGCTTCAAGCTTGGACTTCGGCTCTGTTGAAGAAGAAGAAGAAAAATCGTCAGTAGGGATTCTCATCGTTGCAGGAGAACACGCGATTGGAAATCCTAGGTTGGCATGGCTATGCAAGTTGCAATAGGATCTTGTAGATGACTTGCCAGTTTCCTGAGTGGTCAACCTCTTGACCGCATCGTCAAGCACTGCTGCTGACATGACTGCGACCCCCGCATATGCGCCGTGCTTGCTACCTGGATATTCATACGAGATGCATCGAATGCGTGTGGTGTGTCGGTTCGGTTGACTCTGGCTATGGCAGCAGCGGTAGACGAAGGACGGAGGAGCCGAGAGGCGATGCAGTGCAAGAAATGCCAACAACCTGGGGAGATGGAATGAAATTGAGGGGTATCACAAATGGACGAGAAGACGGCTGTGATGGAAAGTGAAAAAAGGTTGTTGGTGGTGAGTGAGGCTGCGGCTGCAACTGCTACTAGGCGCATTTGCCATGGATTATTTAAATGATATGGAAAAAGCTCGATGCGCGCGACACGGAAGTGCAAGAGTGAATTGAAGGTGGGCGCGCCTCTTGCCAACTTGTACATGTACAACGCTAGGATATTCTGTTCTTCCGAGATCTCTAGTCTCTAATTCGCCCAAGCTCAAAAGCTAGCTCGAGCACTGGCCAATGACTTCAGTACCGCCAAGACTAGACGTCTTATCGATAAGATAGCAGTTCTATTGTGGGGTGAATATTAGAATGGAAGAATTAAGCTACTAAGATTACGGTTATCCCTCTCAAAAGTTAACGTTTACCAAGACTCTTGGCAACTTTGCTGATAGCTAGCAGCTTAAGGCTTAGTCCGCTAAATGCCTTATATTTACAGGTGGGTCATCCATTATGACCTTTATAAACATAAAGGAGCCGACCGCTAAGCTCCTTATAGCCACGATAGTCGCTAGTTATTAACAAAGTTATTAAAAGTCTTGGTAAATGTCAACTTTTAAGAGGGATAACCGCAAAAAGGCTTGACTTAAAACATTATATGTGTATGTTTTTAATCTAAACGAGCTAAGGGGAGAAACAAATTTATATTTATAGGAATCTTCGCCTTGATGTGTTTATAACTAGGTAGGTACATAACTGGCTTATTCTTTACACGAGGCTCACTATTAACCATTCCCGGCCACTGATAATGGACATTTCCAAGTATACAGTAAAAGCGGAAAGTTATGATCCACTATCCGCCTTCCAAACAGCCCAGTTTTTCAAACACCATCGATCTATCACGAGGAAAGGCTGCGACTGGCTTGCCGCTTACATTCTGAGCAGTCCCATCTTTCCTACATCAATACAGGCGCAACCAGCCATACTGTGACGGCAACCGGCTCGTCTAAGCTGGTTCAATTTCGGTCTTACAATTTTCGTCCGACAACATTATCACATGGCTTTGGGGGAAGTGCGACCGCCGTGTATCTTGAGGCGTTATGCCTAGTGTAGATCAGTTATTTGCTGTATATTATGTACTAATTATATAATGTGATAGGGATATGGAACGAGTTTATTTCTCTGACTAGGTATCTTCTTGATATAGTTATGCAAAAAAATAAAATAAAATAAATTTGTTGCAGTAGTTAAAACTGGTTATAACACCGGTTGAGACAAGAGGACTATAAATGACCGTCATGATTATGAACAAGAGATTATGAGGTTTATATCCCTTGGAGGTTTCCCCGCCAAGTATGACTGGGAATTACCAGGCATGTTCTTAAGCTCCGATTCCATCTTGACCCGCCCACTCGGAAGGGGTTCATGTTTGTGAAATAGGTGCATACCGAGCTTCATACCCATGCCATGTCGAAAAATCAAGGCGACAAGACTTCCGACGTGGCCTTGGCTGATTGCCATATCAGGATGGATAAGAGGGATTTCATTAGACCTTGAAATATATTTATTTACTACCTAGTCACGATACAAAAGACAAAGTGAAAGGGATGCCTAGGCTTACATAACATTGGATTCGTTCATGTCGTCGACGGTCACGTGGGCATCAAGACCATGGATAGACAGCACAACTATAGCGGTATTGAAGTAGCAGGTGACGATGAACCAGAGGTTGCTAAATAGTTATTGTTATTTTGCGTCCAAAGTCCCGGGAAAAGCAGTTGATAGAAAAAAAGACACGTTATGTGCTATGAGAGAGGCGCGTTTAGATCTTAAGAGATTTAAACTGGCTAAATATATTAGTGTCACTCAAAAGCTGGTAAGATGCGGCTGTTAAATACTCAACTGCCTGGAGAATTTCTTGCCCACTCCAACATCGTTATGGAATAAGATCAAGCACATCCTGTGAGAATAAATAAAGTGCAGCTTGTAGAATATCGTGCGGCTTGTAAATATTGGTATGATTACCTAGGCAGAGTAAAAGGTATAGCACAAGGCCTTTAGTGCGGTTACATATATAAATATCTCATTTCTGTGCCTTCCCTTGCTGAAAGTCACCATTACAACATGTTACCTAACTGCGGCTTGACATAACAAGAGGAAAAAGGGTGGAGGGGGTGGGGTTCTGCAATGGTTAGGGTGATGGTGCTCCCCTATTTCTGAGTGCCCTGGAGGCGCATAGGATGAGATGTATCGGGCAGCAGACTGTGTATATATAGGTGGGCAGCAGATTCCCGGAGGACCTCATGATTGAACTTAGACTCTTAAGTCCCATGATACCAAAAAGAATTGTGAGTTGAATTCGAACTACAGTTCCAAGTTCAGCAGCCCTTGTCACACTTATCTCTTAAACCCCGATAGTTGTTTTTCGAACGGACAATTTTCTCCAAGAAGATTTATGAAAAACGTTATTACCCCTGAACTTTACTTCTTGACAAAGAACATTTCGTTATAATTACTAAATCTTGTTTTAATCAAGGTTAACCACCAAGGTTCATAATATCAATTGATAACACATGACCAAGGAAACATTCCTTTATAGGTAGGTAGCTTTAGTGAGCAGTGTTGTTAATGACCAAGGCTCGGTTGGCTCATTGGGAAGAGCGTTTAAGATGTCTGGAAGTCAGCAGCAGGTCTTAAAAGAAGGAGGTTCGATTCCTTCACCGAGCACTTTTTCAAACTTTTTAAAATAAAATAAAAATTATAACGGCCTAATCATTTATTTATATTACACGTTAAAATATTTAATATTTAACATAATAAAAATATTCGGGTTTTAAAGTATAAAATTATATATATATTATAAAGGTTAACTAATTATAAGGTAATTAGGTTAATTATTATATATAATAAAATTAAAGCCTTAAATTTCACTTTTATAAATGAAATTACTAACCTTTTAAGTTATTAACGTAACGGTATAAAGCATCGTTATAATAATATAATAATTTAAATAATGTTTATATTTATATTAATTTTAATATAACTAGTTAATTTATTATAATTATAAAAGTTCATTTATAAGTTTATTTTATTTATAAGTTTATAAAAACGTTATAATATATATAACTTTAAAAATAAAACATTTTAATAATTTTAATTTAAATGTAAACTATTTTAAAAATGAGTATATTTATTATATAGTTATATATAGTTTAAAACTCATCGTTTTAATTAATGACACCGTGTAACTAAGCGTTTCGAATTAATTTACTTACTCTTTTACCTCATTAAGTTATCATTACTCTATCCGCTGATGATTCCACTTCTATTCACCTAGTTACCCAGTCACCCCTTGTTCCTCCAGTGCATCTAGTTAAGTTTGAATCCTCCCCCGTCTTCGTTTTCGACTGACTAGTCTCTCTCCTGGTCCACCTGTCCCTTTTCCCATCTCCGCGAGTACTCTCCTCTCTTTCGTGTGTCGAGCGGCCCTCCACGCTATTCAAAACAAAACCTCGATCAGGTAACGAGTGACTATCGGGCATATCCCCAGGGCTGACTGGGACACCTTTCGGGCGCGGCCTACTGTGATGCGTTGATTTTCAACGTTTAGTATGTATCGGCTTTACTTGCTGTTAAACTAGTAATATCTCGCAGTGAAGAAATGTACTTGTGGTAAAAGAAGATACGGTAATATTTAAACCCTAGTACTAGATTAAGAACAAGAATAATATATCCTAATGCATGGTATAGCTCGTATGAGTCGTCCCCAAATTCCGAACTGGGTTGAGGATGGCGGGCATGAGCTCTGTCTTGATAATTAAATGACTTATACATGTGGATAAGATCCATCTTGGGACTGCTGGTAACGTGAAATCAGCGAGTAGGAAGAATACTATGCGTTACAAGACGAGGACTGGGCGAGCGTGGGCGTGGGCAGGTTTCTATGAAGATGTACTGTAGGAGGGAACTAGTAATGTATTGGCGATGTCTAAAGCGTATGTAGGCTTCAGTTGCCCATAGAGACATACGTCTGGCCTCCGGAGAAGAACTTGGCTCATCCAAAGCCCCTTTTAGGGACGGGCTATCAAATGCTGAATCTAACCAACTTTTTCGGCAACATTGCCGCAGCTAGCAACGAACGATCTGTGATATGCATTACCCATCGAGCGCCGGCTTTGTTCTCGACATGACCCGCCCGCGAAAGAGCCCGAGTCTTATATACATAGCTGTTCCATCTTCTCGATGGAGTCCTGGAGCGGACAGACGATGTTGCCGTAGACGGCCTCCTCTAGCTCGCGCGTGCCGAGGTTTTCGCCCTGTCCAAAGTCGCACCGCAGACACTTGCGGACCATCTCGTCGTACTTGCCGCCCAGCATCGTCTTTCTCTTTGACAACTGCCGCGCCGCGAGGATGTCGTTGAAGTCGTCGTTGTCGCAGCCAACACCACCAGCACTACTACTACGTAGACGGTCGAGCGTCTCCCAGTGCCCGATCTCCAGAAGCGCAGCTCCGAGGCTCCACAGGACCTTGTTGTACACGCCGTAGCGATCCTCCGGCGTCATATATTCCGCCACGCCGGCTACCATAAGCGTGTCTTCTTTCTCCTGCGTAGCAGTGACGCTCTTGGCGGTGGTATTGTTGTCATTGATGGGGGCGTGTACGGGCAGGTGAGAGCGTAGTAGGAAACTACTGTGCCGAGGTACTAACAGCGAAGGCTCGGAGAGCAGGAGATCAGACGTCTTCCATGAATCACTAAGCCACGGGGTCGAGTGGAACTTCAATACCGCCATGACTGCTTTGAGAGCGAACCTCATCTGGTACGATCTCGTGAAGCCTTCGGGTTTCGTTGCCATCAAAAGGTCCCGGAGCGTGATGGCTCGGTACTCGCTGAAGGGGTGAAGCGTCTCTTGAGCTGAGTCAGTACTGGGAGATATGTAGAAGATGTGGCGGCAGCTCTGAGATGTCCGCAGGTAGCCTAAGTACTGTTGTAGCCCGGCCTGACAGGAATATCCCCGGTAGGCTTTCTCGAGATAAACACATGCGTTCTCTATAGACGATATATTGATAGGATCCGAAGCGAAATGATTTTGGTGCTCAGCTGAGGAAGTGCAGTCATCCACATTATCATCTGGCATCAGAGACCGGATCTTTTTGCGCTGTTTCGTTACGTCCTCCGAGCTTGCCATTCTCTTCCCCTTGTCGTGGTATGGATTCTTATGAGATCGCAAACACAGTCGAAGCGTCGTTTCTTGGCCCAGGCTTACACGGATGAGCGTTCTTTTTCCAATAACAAATCGGGGGCCAATCATACCTCTCGTTAGTAGCTAAGTACGAAAGAACCATATCGAGAGTATTGTTAGAGCCCACTTCGGTTTCTATGCTCAGGGCAGCTGAATGCTCTACATGGGCAGTTTCCTTGCACGAGAACGATCCCACGAGAGCACCATACACCTCCTTGGATATTTCTCGGACTTCTTTGATCGAATCCGGCAACACCCTACTACTAGACACGGATATTGGACCACGATCGGAGCCTCTCCGAAACTCGTAGATCTGCTGTTTCAGCGACTCGAGGTCCTCGTTGCCCTTCCTGAGGCGGTCGACTATCTGCTCGTACTTCGACTTTTCAAAGGCGATCTTCAGCGATTTCCGAAGCCTTCGGAATGTAGCTCGGAGAGACTCGTTCTCTCTTCGCTCAGTGTGTATCATGTCGAAAGCCCGAAGCTCGGTGCTGATCTCCTGTTGGGCCTCCTGCATCATTGTTACCACCGTGCTACACGCTGAGTAGCTTCGGTCCAGGCTTTCTTCAAGCATGACGTTGAATGCTTCTTCTGCCCATTTATGATGGTCAGTGTCCTTCATGATTTCGTGGGCCTCCTCACAGGTAACCACTAGACGCAAGAGGAGCTCGCATTCGTTCAGAAACCTCGTCTCTTGGATTCTGAGCGCGTCTCTGATTGACTGAAGCTCTTTGGTGCTCTTTATGGCCACGGACAACCCTTTTCGTACGGCCTGGAAACCTCGGATGACTTCAACCACCACCGGTAGGAGGCCTAGTGTTCCCGAGACGATACCTAGGACTTCAGCCATGGTGTGGCAACTAGAGGAGTTGTAGATGAAGGGTTGGACAGTAACAGCGGGACAGATCAATGATAGAGCAAACGAGGATGTGACATGGTCTTAGGACTTTTGTTGCTTATCGCGACGGATGCCCTGCATTCCACTGGAAATCGCTGTTGAACAGAGTGTAGATGTAACGACCTTCCCAGGAGCTCACGAGTTTAGCGTAGGTCTCTCCAGTGAGGCTGAGGTACATACGTGTACGAGGTCCAGACCGTCCAGTAAGCCTCATTATGCATGCGTGCGGGGTCAGGCTTTCTGGGCCTCAGAATCTGCCCTGCTTGGAAGTGGAAAATGGTTCGACCCTACACGATCTACACTTGTGAGATGGCCCAAGGCTGACAGCCTACTTTGCCGGCAAACGATTATGCCAGAGGATTGCTACTTCTTCGTCCCTCCCACAACTTCGCATATTCGCTCTCATCTTTCTCAGGGGCGGGATTTGAAATCCCCAATCTGGTGCTAACAGATAGTGGCCTGTGTCTTACACCGCAATCGCGCATTCACAGGATTCTAGGAGAGCTACTCTGGTTATTTATGCCCGACTGCCCAAACGACGGTCATTTAGAGGGGTTGGTTGCCGACTGAGCATCCGCGACTATTGCAACATAGATGATAACAAACCTCCTAGGTCCAGTAAGCGAACGACTATGCTTGATGGCAGAGATGTTCCGTGGCAGGATGAGAATGATATCAACCAAGAAAGAGGCAGGGAAAGGCCTCGCCGCATTCGCTCGAGCAAACCAAAAGTCAAGACTGGTTGCAACAACTGCAAGTATGTAATTTTCTAGTTCCGCCCAGCGGCCACCTTTACCATCTCGTGTGAAGTGTGCTGAAGTACGACCTCTGTCCTCTAGGATGAGACGTATCAAATGCGACGAGCAACGCCCCGAGTGTAGTCAGTGCGTACGCTCTAAGAAGCGCTGCACAGGCTATGCTCCTCCACCACGAGCGAGTGTATCCGATGCGAGAATTTTACCTCAGGGGCTAGGCAAAGATGTCGAACCGGCAACAATCGTAGAGGCACTGGGTCAACCAGCTCTGACAGACCAGAACACGCTTGCTTCGAGGACTCCCTCTCATGACCAGGCAATTCATAAGGTTGACAGGCACATCCAGCATAAAGACAACTTTGTTTCTCAGGAACACTTCAAACACAGGAGTGGCTCGGCCTGTGGGCTCTTGCGGACTGCAATAGAATTGCTGCAACGCACTGTCAAAACGACCAGGAACGATCAAAATGACAAGGCCTCCAAGGTGACAATCTCGTTGACGAGAGCACTGCAGGCTCTTATTCTGTGGGATGAACGACATTCTGTCTCGGAAGGACGCCTTGATACCGTGATTGAGATGTCCAAAAGAGTGCGAAACACGACTCTCTCTTCGCTGCGCAAGATTATCATTACAGTCTCCAAAGGTGGATATATCTTATTGTTGGTGAGATCCGACTTACTAATGCTCACTCAGATATTATTCCAAACCTTCCCGGTGATGCTTCATTGCAAAAAGCCCTGATAGAACCTTTTGATACCAAGGGCTTCATCTCGACCCACATCATTGACGATGACTCGGGAAATGATAGTGACCATGAAGTTGACAGCGGTTCT